AATAGGATAAAGTTTCTCTCATAGACTTATTTTATTTATATTATAGACAATGTACTCGTAATTCGACCAAACAATAAATATGGATAACCCCGATATTATTTTTTGGACTTGTTTACGTAACTACTATGAGCAAACTTTATTTTGATTTACTTTGTTTCGTAAAATAATACTAAAGGAACAAAAAATAAAGTATTTTTCTTGAAATTGCAAAAATAATCAATATGAGAATGGTGTTTTTTAATTATTTTTTTAGGAAACAGCCTAAATAGAGCAAGAAAAAAAGAAACGGGTAGATTTATAGAAAACTTTTAACTCAAAAAATAGAATTTATTTATTTTCTTAGACAAGTGAGAGGAGTGTCATCGTCAATTCTGAAGGCACACTTTCCCAATAAAATAGTAGGTAAATTGTTCTTTACAAATGCGCAGAGTCCAACCTAATTTTGAATTATTAAATCAACAAAATAATTTTATTTTATTATTATAATAAAATTTAAGCTAACATTAATTAATAAATAAAATATGAATTTAATGAATAATTGGAATTTATTTATTTGTAATAATAATAATAATTACAGAATAAAGAAAAAAACCATTTACTTTGTCTACAATTAGCAATATGGCATCACACTATTAACGAATCTTTCAATTTCTCCTTTAATTAATGTAATCCTGAAAATACAACAGTCGCCATCTATATTAAGCAATGAAGATATTTTCATCCATCATCATACTCTACACGACCTACTTGAGAGATTTTTAGTCATTCATTGTTTGAATTTGTAGCTCGATGATGCTTGACTTAATAGGACAAACCGTAAAAGTAAAAAGATGTTGTGAGTCGAAGGAATCATCCTACCAATTAAAGAAAGCCTCTCATGCCAACATATTGTCCCTTGGATCACAATAATAATAACTACAATTTTAATAATTTTGATAACATGCACATAAATAACTAGTATTCGAATTCTGCTGGAGAGAGACAAATAGGCATATAGTAATAAATTACCATATGAAAATTCTGGGTAAAGCTTTAAAAAGTCATATGACGTTACGGAAAGAGAATTTTAAAACATTGGATGATTTAACAAAAGAAGTTAGCTTGTTAAAACTGGCGAGAGGAGTTTTTAAGAAAATGTTTTTTAATTAAAGCGGGGTCACTTGCCAGAGCCTACATTATATGGAGATTGTGTATGTGGTCATTTCTTAACTACTTCACGGTTTGTCGTAAGCGAGTCAAAGTGTTAAATCGATTGAGATTAGCTACTCTTTTGTATGCTGTTGACCCACAAAACAAAATTGAAAAAGTTTTCTTTCTTCTGTAAAAGGTGTAGTTCTGAAGAAATTATTGATGACATGATTTCGGTTTTGACCTGATTTTTATTTTCCTTCTTCGAAAAAGAATTTTGCACAGCTTACACAGGTAGAACGATTATGTCTGACTGGAAATCATACCTATTGGTGTTAATTGGTTCTTTTAATAAATTTAGGTTCAATTAACAGTCAATAGCAATTAGTTAAAGTGATAAAGATCATAGCTATATTATTTGATAAACTTTTAGGTAATATCAGCCAGCTTCTTTATTGTAACCTATTCATTTTGGATCTTTAATTATTATTATATTTAAATGACTTTACTTGTTAATAGTAATTGTTTCCATTAATTACTTTAGAACAAAATGACTAAAAAATCAAGACAAAAATAGTGATGTCGGCCGGTAGAAAACCCTTAGCCGGCTCATCAGTATTTTTTTCAGTTTTTGTAAACATCATTACTGAAATTGTATATATATATACCTTAGCAAAAGTTTCGGTCACCCTAAATACATCATTTACGCAAAAACGTACATAATAATTCTACAAAAAAAATATATCAACTTCTGGTATATGTTCTGGAGGGTATCTAGACGTTTCCCCGACAACCGTTTCCCCGACAGGACGTTTCCCCGACAAGACAATTACATTTTGTATTACAATATTTATTTGTTTCCCTGCCATGCCATGTCCGGCTAAGTTTATCAAACCATTTAAGTCTATTAACCCATTCATTAGGCGACTAAGCTGTTTAAATCGGTTAGGCCATTTAGTAGCCAATTAATATTAAATATAGTTAACAAAATCTTGTCGGAGAAATGTCCTGTCGGGGAAACGTCCTGTCGGGGAAACGGTTGTCGGGGAAACGTACCAGACCCGACTTGTTTCCGAAAAAAACCTAAGCCAGCAAAAAACTTAAAGGAATTAGAGGCACTTTTAATTGAAGAATGGGATGAAATTCCAGAAGATGCGTACATGAAATTAATCGAAAGCATGCCTCTTAGAACTAAGGCATTTATTGCAAGTAATGGATGGCCCACGAAATTTCAAAATTAATTTTTATTTTTTATTTTTTTCAAAAATAATCAACTTTTTTTTATTTTTTATTGTTTAAGTTCTGGAAAATCTAGAGATATGAAACTTTATATGCAGAATTTTCAGAACATATGCCACAAGTTGATATAATTTTTTTGTACAATTATTATGTACGTTTTTGCGTAAATGATGTATTTAGGGTGACCGAAACTTTTGCTACATACTGTATTTGGATTTCTAACAAACGCCGAGAACAATTAGATATAATGACATATCTTGTGTTTTTCCTTCATTAAAAATACTGAGGCAAGTTAATATTTAAAATCTTTATTTTATTTGTATTGAACTTATTTTTTGCCACTATATTCAGCTTTTTAAAATTATTGGCTAAAGGCCAAAGTCCAATTCTTCGTGGAATGAGTTTGTTTGCTACAAAAGAAATTGTCAAGATATTATTATTGCGGAATTGATTTTTTTGAATATAATGAGGAATGATGATGAGCAAGTTTTAAACGAAGATGGAAACGAAAATTTAAATGATCATATTTTGTTTATGGAAAGGACCATCGATGATAATAAACACTTGACTAGGGAACCAGGAGCCTTTTGATTATTAATATAATAACATTTTCAATCATTTTATGTTTTATTATCCTTATTATCTCATCATTATCATTTGATAATTGATCTAGTGATATACGTCTATAATGATACATCAATGTTGTTATATATTAGTATTATCATTATTTGTTTTTATCCTTACAATTGCTACTTTATTATTATTACCATTACGGTTTAAGACGGCCAAGCCGTCACCAAAAAAAAAATTTAAACAAATAATAATATAATAATGGTACTTATTAAAGAGTATAATAATAAAAATTCAAACATTTCTTTGGCTTGCAACCAGATTTTGGGTTGCAGAGATAATTTCAAGAATCTCTAAATAAAAAAAGAACATAGATGAGTTCGTGCATGTGAATTATGTTTTTGTTTGTTTGGCAAAAATTTACCTCAATGTTCCTGGTCTAAAACACAGCGTATTCCAATAACAAATCTAATTCCTTTGGTGGATCCAACTCTTTCCAACATTTTTTGAATCTTTCAAATGTCACATGAAATTTTATTGAACTGGTTGTGCTGTTGATGCATACAGACAGCAACAGGATATTCCTATTTCAAGGGCTTGATCGTCAATTGGTGCTTTCAATGGAGATTGATGCTAAAGAATAACACAAACTTTTGGCACCATGAAGTGCTGATCCACCTTCCATATGTCACAAGCTCCTAAAAATGATTTTTACCAAGAGATTAATAACTATTTAAACATACATACATACATATATATATATATATAAATATATAAATAAATAAATAAAAAACCTCTTGGTCCCGGACAAAAGAATTAATGTCTACACGCAAATCTTTGTATCTTCCAGTTTTATGTTTGCAATTTGTCCTATATTCCTTATTCGTTGCTGACTACGTTGTATAATGTGTCGTTGAACAAGCCTTATAATAACGGAGGAAGTTTTGTTGTTTGTTTAAATCAACAAAAAATCAATTTGTCGGGGTTCACGTTTCTCATTAAAAGCTGTTGGTCCGGGCGCGCCTGATGCGGGTCACACCGTGGCGGCATACGAAGTGAAACCACAAAGGTCTTACGAGTCCAGAATCAAAGGATCTATAAGACCGATAAAAAGTTGTGGACTGTTTATATACATATTCACTTTGTCTGACTTGTTGTAGTGAATAGTAAACACATTTTTTACTACACATAGTATACGAGGAAAAATTACTGACGAGTACGTATTGGCGAACAGCTTTTACTTAGTACGTACGTACACAAGACAATTATGCCCTGTTTCATTTAACATTAATATTATTATTCTTTTTATGCCGGTGGTTTCCTTTCTAAACCTTTTATGTGAAGTCTATAATCATAGATATTGGGCTGAATTGGTGCTTTTCCTTTTTATATGTTATTTTTAATTGTAATTGTGATGATAATTATGGGGAGGGGGTGTGGGTGGTAGGACTTGAACTTTTTTTTATCCACTAAAACATTTTTTTTTGATTTTATTGTTTAAATGTGTGCCTGGTTACATGTCTTATTAATAATTAACATTAATATTAAGTACGAATGTACGTGCGTGTACATAATCATACATTATCAGTTTTAAAGTTTTTATAATTCTGCATTTAGATATATGGCGCCATATGTAAAAAGTTGTACGTCAGTCAATATTCAGATTATTTTTATAATTATTTATTTATTAAAAAAACCCATAAAAAAAAAAAAAGAAAAAAATAAATAACCATCTCTCAAATTCTAAATATAAATAAAAATACAAATAAATAACATATGTTACATATAATAAAAAACAAGTGGACCCATTTAATCAAAAATTTGGATCCCCAAATATAAAAACTTAAACATACCCAAAAATAAGCTTATAAAATTTACTCTGATAGATTGTAATAATAATTAATAATAATGACATTTAATTATTGCTATTTATACATGAAAAAAATTTTTTTTGCTAAATAATAATTATTTGGTAAATAAAAAATAAAATAGATAAATAATATTAATTTTAAAGGAAAATTATTAAAAAATTACTAATTTTGTTTAATTATTTAAATTGGATTTCACATTGATTGCGCCTTTTCTACTTGAAGTTGATGTATCATCTTGAGCATTTCTTCGTTGTCTGCTTTTAACGTATCATTCTCTTTTTTAAGTTCCTCGATCCTTGACTAAATAAAATAATTCAAATTAAATAATTAGATTATCATTTATTTTTGTTAAACTATTCTCATAATAATAAAAAATGTATTTTTTTTCAATTACATCTTGCTGATCATTTTCTTCTTCGAGCCATCTATTTTCCATAGATTTAGTTTTTATTTGCTCATCTTTTTCTTCAAGAGCTCTTAATCGGGCTTCTTCCATTTCTGCAATCTTGGCATTATGCGCTTGATGAAGTGCCTCAAGGTCTTTAGATGATGGGCCCTATTTTTATTTATTTGCGTTTATTTATTTGTATTTATTTATTCGTTATTTTATTCATTATTGTTATTATTATTATTATTAAGTATCAATTATTAAATACTATAATAATTATTATAATCATAATATTTATAATCATAATATTTAATAAAGATATTACCGCAACTTTCAATTTATCTTTAAGTTCTTCCAATTCTTTTTCTTTATTATCAAGAACATCTTGGTATTGTTGTTTCAACATATCAAGTTCCTTTTGTGATTTTATTTTTTCATCTTGTAACTTGTATTTTTTAAAAGAAAAAAATTTTTAATTTAATTTTTTATTTATTTATTTGAAGTAAAAGAGGTCTCAATATTTTCAAAAATAATAACAATAATAAGTTACCTCAGCAGCATGTTGTTGTGTAAGTGAAGTCACGTGATCCGAGAATTCCTATTTAATAATGATAAATAAATAAAAATAATGAATAACGAATGGTTTGACGCAAGCGTCAATTAATCAACAACATACTTGAAGTTGTTCTTCGGAACCCTTGATTTGTTTTTTGAAAACACTGTTTTGGTTACGTAATTCTTCTAATTCGTTGTTCTTGGCCTCTGAAGATGCCTGAGTAGCACTAATTAAATCTTCCAATTCTTTATCGTGAGTAGATTTTATTTTATTGATTTCTGAGATATGTTCTTGTCTCAATTGCTAATTTTTTAAAAAGAAAAAATACACATTAATTAACTATTTTGTTTTAAATATAATTAATTATATTTTTCCTAAAAAAATTTACTTCTAGTTCATTCGTTGCATCACATTGTTTTCTGAGTATTTCGATTTCTGCATTTAGAGCCGATTCCTTTTCTTTGAATTCATGTTCAAGTGAAATCATAGATTCTTTTAATTCTTGAATGGATTGAATTTTATTGGCATTGATTCTATCAATCTCTGAAGTAAGATCGTTCTTAACTGCTTCTAATTCCTCATGATGTTTAGCATGTAACTCTTCAGTCAATTTAACATGATCAGCCTTCAACTGTTCCAAAGCTGATACATCATCAGTTTTTTGTTGAAATTTTTCATCATGCAATTTCTTTAATTCTTCAAGTTCTGTAGAATGCTGTTCTTTCAATTGTGTAATTTCTTCTTCATATTTTGTGATAATTTCTGCAATTTCAGTTTGATGTTTTTGTGAAGTATCATTTTCATCTAGTAATAATTTTAAATTTGTAATCTCAGTTTCATATTTTACTTTAAGAGTTGCAATTTCAGCCTCATGTTTTTCGATGAGCTCTTGGTCTTGCGAATGACGTGATTTGAGAGCTGCAAGTTCTTGAATCGCTGCATCATATTTAGATACGAAGTTGTTCTTAGTTGTTTTTAGTTCTTCTTCGTGTGTCAATTCAAGTTTATAAATTTCATCATTATGTTGTTGTTGGAGTGAAACCTATTAATAAGATTTTGGCGAAGTTGGTGAAGGAAAAGAGGAAAAAAAAGAATGATAGTCAATTAATAATCAATAACAATAGAAATAATTATAACAACAATATCAAGAATTTGTTTTTTAATTACTTGAATATTATATTCTGCTGATTTGATTGCAGAGTCTTGTTCAGATCTAGATGCTTCTAATTCTTTTTCATGTACACTTTTAAGTTCATTGATTTCATCTAAATGTTTAAGTTTCAATTTTTCAATAGCTACTACAGTTTCTCCTTGGGATGACTTTAAAATAATGATAATATTTATATTTATATTTATATATTTTATATATTTAGTTAGATATATATTTCATTATTAATATTTTTTACCATAAATTCATCTACTCGTTCTTTTGCTTGTTCAAGAGCTAACGCATGTTCCTTTTCAATTTCTGCTAATTGTTCTTGATGAGACTTTTTCAAATTCTTTTAAAAAAGATATATTTTTTTTTAATTGAAAATTTTCAAAATCCATTAAATTTTCACAAAATACTAAATTTCACAAACCTCGATTTCTACTTTCAATGTAGATAATTCTTGGATTACAATTTCATTATCCTTAATTTTTTGAGTAAATTCGCTAATTTCTTTTACACGAGCTTCGTTAATTTCTTCATTTTTAGTATCATGTTCCTTTTGAAGTTGTACTATTTTGTTCTCATACTCTTCCTTCAATTTCTAACAATAAATAATAACAACAACAATAATAAAGTTATAATTATAATTACAATCACAATATGCAAACACATAATTTTTTCTGCAATATATATGTATACAAATATATTACCTTGAATTCTTCTTCAAGTGATTGAATTTTAATTTTAAGATCTTCAATTATAGCATCTTTAGCGAGAATTGCTTCATCCTTTTCAATTTGAACTCTTAATGTTTCTTCCTCGTGAGCTTTTTTTAATTCTTCTATATTATGAACTTGTTGTTCAACTGATTCACTTGTACTATCATTATCTTTTTCCAATTTTGATTTAAGAGCTTCTAATTCTTCTTGACGAGATTTTAAAATATTTTCTTTTTCCTCAAGAAGTCTTTGAAGTTCTTCGTTCTATTAATAATGACAATTTTTTAAAATATATTATCTATTATAAATATATACACACAATATACGTATATTAAATATTGAGTTGACAAACCTTTTCTTTAAAGTTGACATCAGTTGGGGAAGTTACTTTTTCACCACTGGTGACACCATTAGTTTTTGGGCTATGAGACTTAGCAACAGATTTGGAGGCTACCGTAGAAGATGGCGTTTTGGTTTTGGAGGTAGCGGTGGTTGATTTAACGTGATTGGATGTGGTGGTTGATGGGGCTTTTTTAGGAGAAGCACTAGCTGTTGTTGAACTATTAACACTTAATGAGGGTTTACGAGTTGGGCCAGATGTATTGGAATTAGCACTTGTAGCATTACTACCTTGTTTAACAGGTGGTTTTTGATTTTGTGATTTAGCAGTAGTGGATGTGGTGGTTTGTTTGGTAGGTAGATTTGAAGCAGATTTTGTTAAATTTGATGTTACAGATTTGGTGGCGGAAGTTTTGGTAATTGATGAAGATGCTCCTGTTGCAGATTTGGTGGGAGAAGGATGTGGTTTCGTGACTGTCGAACTATTTGGTTGTTTTAAATTTGTAGATTTTGTTATGCTTGCTATGCTTGATGTGCTTGACGAGCTTGGCGTACGTGCGGGAGGCTTGGATAATGCTGGTGGATTGGATTTACTGACAGAATGTGAACGGGAGCGAGTTTGTTTGACATTAGAAGTAGACGCAGTAGATGATGCTGTTGAAGTAGCATTAGTACTAGATGATCCGATTGATTTTTTGTTGACAACATGTTTAGTTGTTCCTGATGAAGATGACGAAGAAGTTGTTTTGGACATTTTTGCACTAGTGGCAGTGGAAGTGTTAGCGGTAGATGATTTAACAGCAGTTGCTTTTTTTTCTGATTTATCTTTTTCTTCAGTTGGACTTTTTGGAGGAGTTAATGGTTCAGTTTTATCATCACTGGTTGTTGTATTAATAGTAGTATCATTAGCATTATCATTACATTCAGTAATTGAAGATTCCTTTTTTTCTTCAGTCAAAATATTATCAGTAACAGTTTCAGTTTCATCAATTGATGATAATGATGCTTCTTTCTCTTCAACAATTATCATTTTATTTTGTTGTTGTTGTGATAGTTCTTCAATTGTTGTTTCAACGTTTTCTTCTTCTTTAAGCAGATCTGTTTCATCCTCTTTCCTTTCTTCCTCCACTTTTTCTTCCTCCACTTTTTCTTCCTCCATTTTTTCTTCCTCCACTTTTTCTTCCTCCACCTTTACTTCCTCCACTTTTTCTTCTTCCACCTTTACTTCCTCCACTTCTTTAATACTTCCACCATTATCTTTTACTTCTTTTTTATCAATAAGCTCACTAACTTTAGTAGCTTCAACAATTGGTTTTGTTTCAAAGGACGCGACAAGTTTTTGAACTGCTGATTTTTTCTCAAATCCTTGCTTTACATCTCCAACATTAGTGGTGGTTTCCTCAATTTCTTCCTTTACAGTATCTAAAGCTTCGACATTATGATGTAATACTACTTCTTCAACAACCTCAGTATACTCTACAACGGTCTCTTCAACAACACTAGTGTCTCCCGAAGAATGAACAAAATTAGTCATTGCAAAATTAATTAATTAATTGATTTAAATTATTAAGTTAATTATATTATATTTAATTTTTTTTTTTAGGAAAAAAATTTTTTTTAATAATGTATTAGTTCAAATAAAGAAATAAAAACGACGAAGTTTTTTTATTCATGGGAAAATGAGAAATGATTGGATTAATTTATTGTGTTATATTCCACAAAAAATAACTATGTCAATAGATCTTCTTTTGTTAATAATGCAGACAATTTTTTATTGTTAATACATATAAAATACACACAATATTATATGTATATATTAATATTAAAAATGAATGATAAGGATACCTTTTCTCTTAACTTGAATATAACTTGTTGATTTGAATTCAAGATTTAACGACAAAAATTTTTCTCTCCCTTTCCCCATACTTCTCCGTATAATTTGCATTTTAATACTAGCATTTCTCTCCCTTCGATATATTATTCAAAGGCATGATCTCTTTCATACAATTTAATCACAACATCTATTTGGCTCTTTTATTCCATGTGCCAAAGCAAGTTAATTTCAATCAATCAATCAATTAGTTAAAAAGGGGTTACGACAGCTGCAATATCTTACTGGTGCACTATTATTAATTACATTGACTGTTGCTTTTTTTGTAACTTTTTTTTTAAAAAATTTTAATAATAAAAGTTTGCATTTCTTTGCATTGTATTGTTTTTTTTTCCGACTGATAGTAACGAATAACAAGTGTTACCATTTACTTATTACTTGTTACACTAAATCTGGAGGTATAATAATAAATGTATCGGGCCTCTTTCCTTTGTAAAAAAATGATCGCAATATTACGGGCAGCATTCACATCTCGATTCCAATGTGCCAGGCAATCTGATTTGCAGACTCTGATGGACTAGAATTTTTGAAGCTTATCAAACCACTCATCACACAAGGAATAGACCGAAGGCGTTCAGAACTCATCAGTGTGTAACACCTTGCAATGTTTAGAAAGTTCATGGCAGAGTTGTTGCTTGACTGGACCTGGAGCATGCCCACGTGTTGCTGATGAGAACTTACCATCACCAAGTTCTACTACTCTCCTAGCATTACCATCCGTTATTCTCTTACACAAAGCATCAAAGGTCTTCTGTTTATTAATCTTTGATTTCCGTCGCAAACAACGCTCCATAGAAGTCAATGATTATGTCAAGACATAAGAAAGGTAAGAGCCATCCATACTCATAGACATTAGCGACAACAGATGTTGGGATTTTATTTCGGTTTATTATTCAATTTCGGTTGACGATTCCTAAATTTTATTAGATGAAGAAGGGTATGTAAGTGATTGATTATCTGTAAATTGGATATAAATCAAGTATGGCTCACCTCGAATAACAGCCTGAAGATGTTGATTCTTTTACAGTCATAACTCACGTTTTTGCGAGCATAAATAAACTCTTCCAAGCACCAGTACTCCTTGTTTGAACAACCCTATAACTTTTTCATCTGAACTCATTGCTACAAAAGATTTTTTCTTCTGCATTCATTCAAATCATTACGTTCACTAATATTATCTTCATTATCATTATTAACTTCTGCATACCAACTGACACTGCAAGGCCATCAGTAAGCAAAGATTTGATTTAGTGGTGACTTTATTAGTATTAAATGCTTCCATCCACCAAGTTTCTCTACTTTTTCCATTGACCTACACACATAATCAACTAATATGTACTTTTGTTGGAAAGAGCATTCAGGAAAAAATGTGAAGAGACGAAGGCCATGTTCTTGGTAAAGATGCGGAGGATTTTATTGAGTCCTGAAAGATATAATAATAATGATGCTTTTACAGAATCATAATCAAGAGCTCGATTTTGGAACAATGTATTTGATTCATTTTTTGAATCAGTTTTTAAAGTTTGTTGTTATATGAGTTTTGTCAATTGTAATGTATTTCCACTCTGTATTTGTTGTCCTCGGGTCGATATTGTGTGTAGAGGGAATCTCAAATAGCATTTATGATAGGTTTATTGGTGGCATCAAAGATATTTTTGATATTTGATTATTAGTAATTGTTACAGCTTGGAAACATTCACTTAAAGACGCCTTACCTTCACTTGTGTTGAAAGGAAATTGGCTACATGAACTTTTGGAAATTTGTAAAATCTACTTGAAGAACGTAAATGGTCAGTACCATGACAAGTCTGCATCTTTCTAAAAAATAAAAATAAGTGTTGATAAATATTATTTTTTTTTTAAATCATGATGATTACTTGGTTCTTCTTTGTTATATTTTCATCTCATCTTTTTTTAGCTGCACTTTTAGATGATATTTTTTTTCTATAAAAAATCTATATTTATTAATCAAAATCTTAATATACATGTTATTTTTTTAATGGAAATCTCTTTCAAGATGCGTGCTAACCAAATATGGGAACTGCCTGTAACTCCACCCTGAATTTCCAATATTGACTGTCACACGAACTTGTAATTATTCAAAGAATCATGTCAACACAAAATATTTCTTCAGCATTCCCAGAACCTCCCTTCTATTATAAACAATATACAAATGAAAATCTCGCATTACTTAAACAATTAAAAGAACAACAACAATTAGACAATGAAGAAAAAATGGACACAGAAACTGAAGTAAATCACCACAACCACCAAAACTTCAATTTACTAGAACTAGAGCCTCCAAAACCCATTACAGATAGTGAATATTATATGTTTGGTGTAAGATGGACAGTAAGTCTTGAAATATTATAATTGCCGTTTGTTGTTAATGGTGGTAATTATGAACTGTTATTATAAGTTGGTTAGTTAATAATAGCTTTGGTGAATTGTATAAATATATAATGTGTTTTTGTTGTTGTCATTATTGAGGTTGAAGATAAATTACTTTCATTAGAAGAACAAAATTTCGAACAATTATATCCTGAAAGTAGTATAGGTAAAGTATATTTATGAGAGAGATTATCATTAGATTTTTCAGTTTAAACAAAGACTTATAAATAAATAATAGATCGAGTGGTAGAACTTAAGAAATTAAGCATTTCAACTATTTTTAATTTTGTTGAGTTATTAGAAATAATGGTAAAAGAACCTGAGAAGGTGAGGAAATTTTGGAGAGGCTTGTTGAGGTGGTTTTAAAAAATTAGGATTTGATTATTAATTAAGTATTTTTGATTTCAGTCATTAGAAAAATTTGAACAAATTAGATTACTTATTATAAATATGAAACACTTATTAAATGAATATAGACCACATCAGGTAATAATGGAGAATAAATTAGATTATTTTTAAATAATATATATAGTTATTATTTTGTAATGTCTGTAGGCAAGAGATACTTTACGATTAATAATGGAAGACCAATTGAAGAGACGGAGAGAAGCCACAAAAGAGATTGAAAGGTAAATTTAGATAAAATCAAGAAAATGAAGGTGTATTATGTATTATGGTGCATATATAATGACTAATTATTAATTATTAGACAATGCATGAAATTGAACCAAACATTGGATAAGATAAAGGATTCATGGAAGGCTTTAGATGAAAATGTGAAAATGGATGTGGTATGATAATCAATAGTAATTATATATATCTAAATTTACAATTTAAAATATTTAAATCCTAATTACTTGTAAAAATGTGATGGATATGTTAGGATGTGAAAGAACCTAAACCAAAAATTTCAAGCGATGATAATAGTAGTAAAGAACTTTGTTCCTATAATATTAAGCCTGAACCTATGAAAAAATTATTAGAAATGATAAATGAAATTGATTAAAAAAAATTCATGTGTTGAATGAAAAATTTTATAATTGATATAAAAGGAATCCAAAGGGTTAAGCTTTTAGAAGTTAAAGATAAATTTTTTTGTTTAATTTTTATTTTTGCATATTGTAAATATGTAACAAAGTGAACATTACATTATATCACAAAGAAATTTCAGCAATCAAGTTTTGGTAAATTATCACAATTGCACTACCAATATAATGTAATTTGCTTTCTTGTATAGATGGTATAGGAGGAACCCAAGAATTACAGCATGCTAGAATTGGTCAGGATTTTATAGTGTGGATCATCTACTCAAAAGTTAAAAATTTGAAATATTATGTGATCCACATGTTGGGTTTTAAAAAGACTCACCACCATTCAATTCAATTTTAAAAAAAAAATTTGTCTCAAATTTTTCTTTTAATAATAATTTTCATGTTACAAACAGTGTTGTACATGGGACATGTCCGCCTAATATTGAGCGGACATGGACATGTCTTGGACAATGTCCAATGGACACTGTCCAAAAATGTCCGCGTAATAATTTGTCATGCGGACGTGTCCGCTCATTTTCTTAAATGTCCCGGACTGTCCGGGACCAGTAGTACAAACCAGAAGTTAAACGTGAGAAAATGCCTTTACCACCTTTATTAACTCAACATATGATTAAAACCATATAAAACTAAACCAAAGCAATTCAAAAACGTTTTGTAAACATGTGTCACCGATTAAATTTTGGGAGTGCGTTTTTTTAATTGGTGATAACAATTATTTTTGTTTTGTGTGGATCAGAATCAACGAATTGATTTTGTTATTAGCGAATAATTTTGGGTAAAGAAGATAAAAGTTTTAAATAAAATATTTATTATT